TCCCTCCTTCCATTTAAAACATTGCTCTTTTAGTTATCACCGTACTGGTCTTTGGGCAATTTTACATCAAATTTAAGAGTTTGGAGGTTATATTGTTCGTAACAGAATGAGTAGGAGGAGGGCCAAGTTTTATGTGCCGTTTAAAAGCTTTCTGAACATGAATGGGATGCTGTGCTCAGCTTGAGATTCCTGGAGAACGATGTGATGAACTACAAGGTCAAAGATGAACTTTAAATTCAATAGGCCTGTCGTCATCAGCTTGAGTTTGCCAAATAAACCGCTATTTTCAGACTCAGGATATTATCCCAAAGCTCGAAATTGTGTCTTCACCAGATTGATACCCTCATCCGCTAGCCCGCTATTTCCCAAATAGCGGGATATTTTGAAAACAAGACCAAGATATCTTGAGATATTTCCTTGACCAAATATCACGCTAATTGCAACTGCAGGTTGATGCAGATGCAAATTAGCTGGATAATTTGTGATCAAGATAGTTAACATAGCGGGTTATTTGGCAAACTCGAGCTGATGGAGATAGACCTCCTTTGTATTCTGAGAATACTGATCTGGGCCCCAGTCAATGAACTTGTTATCGATAGAAACTTATACTAATTGTCATAAGCAACTATAATTGTTGCAATTAAGTGGATGCATGTGAGCAAATTAGTCAAAGAAATGTGACACTGGTTTTTTATTAAAGACTTTAATGAAACAGGACCCTGGTGTAATACATACATGAACAGGATTAGAAACAAAGATGAATCAATCTTATCTTACACTGTTTTAGAGTTTGAACAGAAACGGAATCGTTTTTCTATGGTTTTTCTATCAGGGTTGATTGTAGATAGAAATAGGCATTTACATGCAGCTTGAGATTTCAAAGTAGCACACAACACTTTGATGAGTAGATCTCCAGCTTGAAATTTCAAGTCGATCTGTAGATTTCCTTTCTACTAGTTTACCCTCTCACTGACTCCTCTATGATCAAGACAAGGTCAGACAACATTTGCTCCTCAGGTTTCATGAAGAAGTATTCATGATATTGTAAATTTTCTACTTTGCCAAGGTAAAATAAGAATTTAAGGAACATAGGAGAGGGGTAAAGGGTTCATTTTGATCAGCTGACTTATGAATCATCAGCAGTGACCACTTTGATTTACGAAGTAATTGAAGACTCCTAAAATATAATTGCAGTAACTTAAATTGAACGGGAGGGGCAGCTCAATTACTTTGTACACTCAATCTAGATGTATGCACTCCTTGAAATTGTTCTGCAATACAGAAAAATAGATTGACTCACATATTTTGAGCATGAATTAAAAATGTTTAATTAGTTTAACATTATTGGATAATGAAAACAAGCATACATAAAAGCTCAATATAAAAGAAATGGAGACTGAAAATGAGGGGAGAGTCGTATGTAAGAATGAAGGATTGAGAGGGAAACGAGTAACAGTGAACAGAAAAGCGTGGTAGCTTAATCAGAGATGAAGAAACAGGCTGATCATGAAGAAAATAGACACTTCTCTTAATTCTATCTAATCGGCACTCCTGATTTGGCCCTGCCCTCTCTTGAGAATAATTCCTTGTGTTTCCTGAGAGAAAGACAGTAATCAAAATGTCTGAGTCCGAATTAACTTATCAAAACTCTCCACTGAACTGATTTCACTTAGATTAACTTAATGAGATTACGAAGGCTTTGATGTAAGATATCTTCATACTGTACAGGATTCCCCCCAGACGGGTAGCTGGGATTCAGAAATGCCTGACAAGGTCTCTGGAAATCACTCAAAGGTCCAGCTTTTTTAAGGGTTCATGAATGGAACAGTGAGCCCTAAATCTCTATGAAGCCTTCTGTGCTTGGCTTGGTTTTTGTAGATTTGATATGTTTAATCTTCAGTTAAGGACTAGGACAAGTGGATGAGCAAGATTATTTATTGCATATTTTGATCAGTTTTGTTCTTTAGAGCTAGCTGTAGAGCACCCCCCCCCCTCTTTCTGTCTCCATCTCTCTTTCTCTTTTGCTCTCCTCTCCTCCTCTCTCTCATTCTCTCTCTCTCTCTCTCTGGTTTATTCTTTTGTGTTGAGATATACAGTAGTTTAATTTCAGTATTTGGCGATTTGCATGGAAACTTCATTGCAGGAGTGACATTTTAAACATGGATCATGAATCTGAAAATGAATATCTGGAGCTGTTTGGGCCAGTTTAATTAACATAAACATTTTATTTCAGTCGCTGAAGGTCATTCATTGTTCATAATTGTTTTAAATCTTATTTTATGCGACAACATGGAATGTGTTTATTGTTCCTCATTGTGAGAACTTTCAACTGACGTCAAGATCAATTTTGCTAAGAACTAATTTGAAGACCCTGCAGAATTATGGTATTGAAAATATGTATCAATACATGGAGAGAGAGAATTGGAGTGAGATCATGAGATAAGATGGATCTGTCACGGATAGTATGGTTCAGTGAAGGAGATTAGTAACTGTTTTTTCACAAATCAAATCCGATTACAGCAGATGACAAAGATTGTAAAAAGAGGAGTTATGGATTGCACCAGGGTGGGTTAATTGGGAGCGTGATGAAAGCCTGGTAAAGGAAGGAGTGCTTTGACTTGTAACTCACCCTGCAAGTCATAACACCCGACCCTAGATGTGCTTTAACCTCTGCTTACTCACAAGGACATGAGGTCATACTTACTTGAAGCTAGCTATGTGAAGTGGGTAATATAAGAAGAAAAAGGAATATTCATAAGTTTCAGAAGCACTTTCATGATGCGATGAGCTTAGAATGATGAAACAGCCATTTCTACACCTGTTAGTCGAGCGTTGACGAACAGGATACTTTAAGAGGCAATTTTATTGCTGGAGTACTCCTAACATAGGGTAGAAAGCAAGCTGTATTTATTTTAAATTCATCATTGAAAGATTTATCTTTTAAAGATATGCATGTTCAAGGACATACAACTTAAAGGAGCAAATTTTCATTCAATTCAAGAGACATGCCAGTATTCCTGATCTTACATAATCCTTGATCATTACAAATGAAATAATTTGGATGAATGGCAGTCTTTTGGAAAGATTAGAAGTAATCCTGAACCAGAAAATTCATGAGTTTCATCCCAATATCGTAGGGGTAAGAGAGACAGACCCTCAAAGTAAACAAAAAATGTGACCTCTTGGTCATTTTCAAAATTGAGTGTCCCAATTAGCAAATTATGATGACCGGGTTCTCATTTAAGAGACTTCCAGAAGATTAAAGTTTTTATTGGTGAGATTAACCATCCATCTTGGCTTATTTCCACCCCCTGGTTTCATGCTTGTTTCTAAATGCTACTAAACTATCAAGTTGGAATAGTATTTGTTTTTCAGCTAAAGATTATATGTGTATCCTGACGGGGGCCAACATGAAATTATCCGTAGAAGATGTAGAACAATTATTTCACTCACATGACCCGTTACGTATGTTACTTCTGTGAATTACCCTTAAGTGATCGTTTATAGCTCCTGAATAAATTTACTGTTCAGTGGAGCCAGTGAAACCATGCACAAAAAGATAACACATTTTACAAGAACATGTCAAGACATGCGTACCCTGTAAAGTAAACATTTCATGACAGTCACTGAATGAATTATATATTGTAGTGCAGGAAATGAGAGCTATGGTGAAATTCAATTAGCAAATTCAAAATGATAATCTTTAATTTTGCAGTAATGCATTGGGTAAGAAGCATATGTACATCCACGTCCATAAAGCTTGGAGAGTTTTCCTCTTTCTTAGCACTGAGTTCCCTCCCTCATTCATTTCACCTCAAGGTCCAAGTCTGTATGAGGAAGGCATGAGAATTTGAGATAGTGGACAGTTTCCTGACCCAAAGGGGATGTCCAGCAAGGCACTCCTGACCATTTAAAGATTCTCTTGGGGCAGTGGCCATGTGATTGAAGAGAAATTGGATACCTTTCATGAAAATAAGGTTTTTTGTAAAAAGAGAATTACGAGAAAAAAAATGTAGCCCCTCCCAGTTCCAATTAAACAATTAGTAGATCAAAAGATAAACCACTTTTCATTATTGCGTTAATATTTCACAAAACGACTGTCACCTTGTGCACAATATAATCATGCTTCCTTCAAATGTTTATAATGAGAGAAGCTGCATGGCCAGCAATGCAGATTAATTAATATTTATGTTTCAATTTATTAATACAATGTCTACATTGTCATGAATATCTTGATTAATGAAAACTTAATAAAAGAAGAGTACAAAGACATGTAGGTTAGAATTAAGAACTTGATATGGCTCAGTAGAAGTTCAATGTAGACTGTTGATTAATCAACACATTGAGCCACCTTTGGTCAGTTGTTATCATGCGGCAAGTTATGTCTAATTAATGAGCTGGCAGTACTCTCTTAGGAGGAAATTCATGATAATTAAATCAATCAAACTAAGACAACAGTTCATGTACATGTATGTCCCTTTGGGGGGTATTTCTTATCAGAGTAATGACCTAACATCTGAACGATGTTGACATGTCTATGCCTTCTGTTCTGTTATTCGAGAATTTAAGTAGAATCTATATTTTTAATTATAATATATTATTTTTATGATATGTTTTAAAGATATTTGACACAATTCCCAAAAGTGTGAGCTACTTTTTCTTCTTCTATGGGCAAGAAGTGGAATGTGTAGTTTCATTTTACTTTTAAGATCAAGTATTTGCATAAAAGCTAATTTCGGGCTCTGTAGAAAGTTACCCTGACAGCTGCCCTTAATGTAGAGGTTCATGTTTAATAGTTATGTGACCCTATTTTATAAGGGGACAACTTTATTGACCTGTCTAGTGCCTAGGCAGGGGAATGTTTTGTAATGTCAGCCTCCATAAGAATAGATTTCATTTTACAGTACTACTCTTTAGAAACAGTGTTGTTGCCACGTTATGTGCTTGGCAGACCTACTTATCTCAATCTCTCTCATTGTTTTTATCTTCTGTACTAACAGGAGGTCACAGAGCTGGATCCACAGATTGTGAAGAGCTTTCTGTTGTCACACAGCCATCCACAGGGTGGGGGAGAGAAACCCGATGACATCACTTTATTGGTCGATCTGTTTATGGAACTTCTTCAGTGTTCTCCTGTAAGTATACCCTTCCAGATTTATTGAAGTGTACCAGTATGCACCATTTCCAAAACAGCCAAAGTGATGTAGTGGCCACCTGCCCACAGAGTCCACCTTCATTATTTGATTGTTACTCTTTAGTCTTCATGTCCATGTTTCTTTGTACTCTTACTTCATGAGGTATAATTTGTCTCTAAAAGGAAATCATATTAATTAGTAATTGTCTGAAATCTCAGACTATTTTTATCAAAGGTGTAGTTTTATCTTAACCTTTGATATTCCACTATTAGACAAAATGCCTAATGACAAATTTGTTGGTAACACTGTTGTCCTTTTATTCCCTAAAATTTCTTTCATAACATACCTCTTATGATAATAAAAACAATTATAGGTACAGTTTCCTTGAAGCCTTTGCTGCGCTATTCCATGGATTTTCTTAAATTCAGGTACCATATACTCCAAAGCTGTCTTGTTTTCATGGTTAGTGCTCCTATTTGTTATTGATTGTTACTGATACATTCAATGTTATAGGGTAATGCAGTAAATTTTCTTCAGGTTTCTTTGTTGCCAAACCGAATACCATGCGTAGGAAAGAGATACCCCTTCTTTCATTCAGATCATGCCAAAACCAAAGAAAAATCTCTGCTGCTTAAAATAACTCCCATTCCCTGAACTCTTGCCAAAACATCACTAAATTTATTCCATCAACATATAACCTGGCTAAAGAGCAGCAAGCAGGACCAAATTACTGTGATTTAAAACATTTATGATAAGCTAAATCATGAATTTTGCTGTGACCCAAATCTTTTGTTTGTGTTTAACTTGCCTTGAAAAGAAATATTGAACTTCAAGATTTGTGTCATGTAATCCAAGCTTATTATCAAATTCTTCTCTCATATAAAGAAGCTATTGAATTTTGACTAAAAATTAAAGTGTCCCGCACTGTACTTTTTTGCTTGGGAACAGGAGGAAAACATTTCCACATTTCCAAAACTCATAAACACATGATTTTCTGCTTCTGATGAAAACCAGATGAAAGTCACATGTTTTTCATTCATTTTCTGTGAACGCAAAGTTGTGTGTTTAATTTTGTCCATTTTTATTTCTTAGATCAAAACAGAAATACATTTTTACTTCCATATATCCTTCAAATGTTGCTTTGCTCAAACGAGCTTAAGTCTGTAAGCACAGGAAATGAGCTGTTATAGTATGTGATGGTTTAGGAGAGATTTCATGTGAATTCTATTGCTGCTGGCAAGAATATGTATTGTAAGAATAGGGGATGAAATTACTGCAGCTCGCTGACAACTCGGCTTTGTCAGATCAAGTTCTATAATACAAAGAAGTTTAATCAACATGAATTTCCCTGTTTTTCATTGAATCTGTGAATCTGCAGATCCTGGTTTAGTGTATCAATGTGCTACTATGTGTATTATTATGTTCAACATGGAACGCAGTGCTGATTAAATTGAAGTGTATTGCATTTATATCTTTCTGAGTCTCTGATGGTATTGTATGGTGATGATTATAACAAATTTATCATCTTGACATGCTCAGTGTTTGCTCTTGTTATTCATTCTAAATAATACCAATGTTGTGTGTATCTCCAGTTGCCGGTAGAACACAACCACCTGTGGCTGCAACTCCTATATGTCCTCATCCTCGATGGTAGCAACCTGTTGCTCTTCATCAAGAAGAAGGTGGCAGCCACCGTCTTAGGCACCATGGCAGTTCACAGACCACAGGCTTCGATACAAGAGATTGGCTGCACTGTACTTTATCCACTGGCAAAGTTTAATCAGATTCCAGACTTGAAGGTATGTTTGTTTTTTCCACCGCATACATATTTTAGAATATTTGAAGAAAGTTGAATGCATTTTCAATTAATCAGTACTAGCAACAACAAAAAACTCCAAAAAAGAATTCATAAGTTACAGTACAAGTGATTAAAGATTAAGTGGCAGCAGTAACAGTAGGAGCAGTGGCTACAGCAGCCACTGAAAGAGTTGTAGTCGTTGTAAAAGTTGTCATTATAATTGTACTAGGCAGCAGTGCAATTTGATCAACACTTATAGGTTTGACCTAAAAACAATTTAAAAACTACCCTGTTTGAATTGAGTTTGGCTCCATTACAAATCAATTTCCGGAGGTATGCTAAATTTAGATTTCATGTTTATTGAATAATTTGAATGATATGGTTGTGACCATACATGCAGAAAAACAGGAAATATTAGATAATTTTGAACTCAATGAATCAATTAAGAATAATTTGAATTTAAATTAGGTCAATAACATGTCCATGTAAAAGTATGTAATTTATCTTTATTATAACTGATTCATCTATAGAATAATATTTGCAATTTTATGTGTTTGATAATGTTTCCTTCCTTTCCCTCTTTTGGCAGGCGCCAATCCGCGAGAGTGGAATACAGGTCATTCTTCAGTCCATGGAGAAACATAGAAAGAGTGAAAAGCTGATGATCAAATCCCTGCAGGTCCTTGCCAATGTGGCATGCACAATGTCAAGTTATAGCAGTTGGGCTATACAGCAAGGTAGGTTTCAATATCCTTTCATCTCGTGAGTGTATCAACTCCCTATCCACCCCCTTCCCCCGTTTACGCCAAGACTCTGATATGGCCATCTTTAGACAGTTTGAACAGTTTTTCTTTGAACACACATGTTATATTTGGATATATACGTTTTTGCATGACTGAAGTAGAGTCCCCATATATTCAACTATGATACTAACCTGTGTTCTAGCCTTGTATTCTCGTAAGGAAGTAGGAACCCCTGAGTCAATGGAGTAACTTTCACAGTCATATTTATCGATATATGTACTACTTGCAGAGAAGAACGATGAAAGTGAAATAGTGCTTCTCATTTTTGTTTGAATCAAAGTTATTTTACTTTTTTTTTTAAGGAGGGGGAGGGGGGCAATTTTCCTGAGGTGCCAGATACATTTGCTTTGGATATATTTACTGTAAATGTTAGTCCTAACATCTTGAACAGAGCAGTAGTTTCAAGCATTCCAGATTTGAATGAAAATAGGAATCCCTGTGCGAATGGAGTGACTTTCACAGAGATCATGATGTGACTTTACCTTTTGTTTAGGGAGGGGGAGGGGACGCATTTTCCTGAGGTGTCAAATACATTTGCTTTGGATGTATATTTACTGCAAATTTTAGTTCTAACATCTTGAACAGTGCAGTAGTTTCAAGCATTCCAGATTTGAATGAAAGTAGGAATCCCTGTGTGAATGGAGTGACTTTCACAGGGATCATGATGTGATATATACGTGCACTGTTGGTACTGTCTGTTGGATATAAAATAGGATCAAAAGCAGTATTCATCATTTGTGTGAATGCTTAATTAAATCATATTCAAGTTCTGATTTTCTTTATTGTTCTGATGCTTTTTCTACCCTTACATGTAGATCCAAAATAGGTTTAAGTTCATGTACTTGCTTGTATTTGAGGTTTCTTTTGTCATGAAAGAAGGTTCCCTTGGCCAAGTTTCAACTTTGTTTAATAGAGAAACAAGGACTCTGGGTGTAGTAGAGTGACCTTCACCTAGCTATGCAATTTTTTCATTGAACTTTAATATGAGTGTAGTTCAGTTTCTTACTTCCAGGTGACCAATTATATATTGTTTTTTATTGACGAATTCTTCCCAATATACCTAGATCATTCTCTGCCCTTCTGTCTTAGAAGGCTGAATGCCTTGAACTGTATTTGACTTGCTGGTTTTCCAGCATCCTTTTGTTGAAAGAAAGTAGGGATCCTTGGGGCAATGGAGTGACTTTAACAGAGATCCTTGAATGATTCACATGTCCTCGTAAGCCTTGTACAAAAGGAAATAAAACCCAGACATCAGGATAGATATCAATTTCTTGGGATCCCTCATTTTCTTCATTTTTCATCTACTTCACATAGTAATGGAATTATACATGCCTTAGGCCAAGTTCCAGTTTACCAAATGTGCTTACAGTAGGACAAAAAGTTTTTTTACTTGCTTATTGGAAACAAGCTGATCATCGTTTCAGATACCTGCATTTCTGAGCGATGATTATCTCCGTTGAACTCGTCTGCTTACAAGCAGACGGACACAAGTAACTCTGCGTCAATCGTCATTCCAGTCAAGTGCGATAAGAGACGCCACCAGCCAGCAAAAATCAAAACAAATGTGCGCTCTGATGCGGATTCATCGTCACACTGGATAGCAATCGATGGAGGGTGCCCCCAAGCTATACCACACTTCCGCCAAAGGTCATCGTGTGAACGTCTGGCATGGCATTGACATTTGACTGTGAGACAAGTTTTCTGTTTCGTCTTTGTTGTAATCACGTTACCTTGTCACATGATCATGCTCTGATGAAATTATAACCACCGTAAAATTTCCACTTGGTTGCAAAAGATGAGAGGTGATTGAGTTGATGACAGACACGTCTCTAACATAATAATATTGTTTAGCAGAAGTGTTGAAGCCTTTTACTACGCTCGACCAATCAGAAATGGGTATTGCCTTCTATCAAAACTACAGCTAAACATTGTCTTCCTCAACCTTAATGAAACACAGTGATCTCAAAAGTGAGATATAATGGGAGGCCAAGAATAGAAGACATTTAGTTAATTTAGCCATGTGTAATCTTACATTTCTTAGTGCCCTCTGTCCAGTGGTTCATCCATGCATTGCTGAGATAAGCCTGAAAGTTTCTTGAACTTTTGTAAGAAGGTTGACAATCCAAGTTGCCAGTTGTTTTTGCCTCCATTGCTAAGTACTCTAATTTACTATATTATGCAGACTATTTGCTGTATTCACTCTAGAAGTATTAACTGCCTTTATGCTTAGTTTGACTTCTGTTATTGAGCCAGTTAGTTGACTATACTGTCCAATATTTTAATTTTGGAATTCCATGGCTTTTTTATATCCTCATCTTTACATGGGAGCAGCTGCCCATCTTTGTCAATATCAGCATTATTTGGCGCCTTTTGCATTGATTTTTCTTCTTAATAGTGCAACAAAAATCTTCTTATTCAGATAAAATAATTGATGTAACTCCATTTATTGAATCTTATTAATCTAATGTTATCCTTACTTTGTTTTAGTTTTTTATGCTTCATTATGACGAATGACGGAACCTGTAAGCACCTGTGTACTAGACTTTGTCAGGTTATTTTATAGAACCATGCTAAATCTTATTAATAACAAAATAAGGACAGAATAAGGAGAGAAATCATATGAATAAACGGGAGCCTGAACAGAAATTAGGTTTCGACTGATAGATAGTGACAAGTTGAGCGTCATAACTCTGTCTGGGGACAAAGTCTGCTGTATGTCAGCTTGAGTTGGCATGTAAATCATCTTTCCAAGGAAACCCTCAGGAAACCTCCTCAAAATTGCCTAATTGTATCCTGATTTTCTTCTCCCATTTTTACCAGGTCTATATTTGAAGTCCTTTATGCTGTTTTCAGCATCTATGACATCCAACCATATGCTAGTTTTCTCCAGGCTGGTTAAAATAAAATTGTTTTGGTGAGCAGTTGACGTTCTTGTCTAAATGTTTGAAATTGATCAGCTTCTAATGAGTAGCGTCTTCTTATAAATGAGGTTGGACATGTGACAAACATTCATGGAACTAAATACTGCAGAGGGTAGTTTCAAAGTTTTGTTTTTTAAGATAAGTGAACAATTTTGTTTTTTTAATGTGAAAAATGAATTGCGACAGAATATTACCTATGAAAGGAAAAGCAAATATTTTATGGAGAAAAATCAAAGAAAAAACAACTTCTTGAGGTTAAAACAAATTCAGATTGTGCTTTCATCATAGTATGCCGATGGTCCAGATGAAAATGTAGTATTGGTGCAAGATAGGGATGTTGGCTTCTTAGATGTTTGTAACCCCTGGTTACCATATTCTGTCAATACATTGACCAAATCAATACTGAAAGGGCGTTAGAGGGAAACACCACTTTGCCACAAGCATTCACTGATGATAATCTCTACCCCTCCTTTCAAAAATAGGAGTTGGCTATTGATGAAAATTTGATAAGTTAGTCTGAACATGCAGACATTTTCTGCTTTCAACATCACTGTATATTTGTTTCTCGCTGAATGAAATGCTTTTGAAACAGTCGAAGGAGGATTCAAGTAGCATGAATATTAACAGGCTCAACAATACATCTCTTCTGGGGTGAATGTTCAAGCATAACATGCCCCTTCATGGGGAATGATCTCACGTAGGCAGGAAAGCGCTTGTACACGAAAACTAGATTCAGCAAGTTTGACGCATGTTTACATTTGCCGCTCCAGTTAACGTGGGAGGACCTGAGATTTAAGTGAGCATGATGCGACCGCTGCCATTTGATGAGGGCAGAACATGGTTCTCAGCTGACATACATGATGAGAGGGGGAAGTCCTCAGACAGGTCTAAGGATCCCCCTCCCAGTTCAGATGGACACCAACCCGTAGTGCATCTTGTTGCACCATATGAGTGATAGGCAGTTCCTTTTTATATAAAATTCCAGATGTATAGCTTCATGACGTCTGTTTTGTTTATTTTTATATTTGTTTATTGCTGATGGTAGTAACAAGAATGTGAAGTAAGAAAGTTGCCAACTACTTCAGTCACTTTTAGATATGTTTTAATCATCAAAGCATGCCATCCTTTTGTATTGTGCTATGGGTGAAAATTAGGCCTAGTAAGGAATTCAAATTCAAGCTTTTTCTAGAAAAAGTGTAATAGAAATGTTCAAGACCCTAAATTTGTATTTATTATTATTATATCTGGAGAGTTAACTTCATATTTGAGGATAAGTACGTTTCGCATAATGATTTTAAGACCTTTTCCTTATAATGATATGATTTGAGTTGTACAAAATAATGATCATATCCTTTTGACATGATCTGACAGGATATAAATAATCATAGAGTAAGATAAATCCCTTAAAATAGGTTTGAATAGTGTAGGCAATTATGATATTGGGTAGGTTATACTTTGCATCTATTGGGTATAATTTTATGTATTGTAATGTGAAGAGGTAGAGCCTGTGGGGTTTAGGTAACTGCTATGTTACATCTATCTGCAGCTGCTATTAGTCAAAGATCTCTTGCAATGCTCCTTTAGTCACTTACGGTAGTCCCTTATATTGTGTCTCCTATATTGTGTCCAAAAGCATATCCACTGGATTCTTGGCTATTGGGGGCTTATAGTGTGTGAAATACCCCCTTTTCTCACTTCAAGGCATGCTTATGCCTTTATAGTGCCAGCAACTACTACTGTTCATTGAAGAAGTTTCAATGTGGAATAGATTGAAATAATGATCCTAGAATTCGTAAACATCATCAGGAAAATCAAGAATAAATCAGAGATTAATTATTTTCGACATGAAATGTACGGAAGCCTGTGCTAATCCATCCCACCATGTGCAGGGTCATTTTTGGACGCATGCCATAACTGACGATGTTCAAATTGTATCATGTCGGTCAACCAATCACAAGTTTGCAGAATGGTTGCATCCCTTTCTCTCGTCCATGAGTCATGAGCCGGCTAATT